CACTGGAACACAAATCTACATAGCTCTCCCATGGGAGCTCCAAATTTCAGCACAATTGAAGTAGATGATAACTTTTTAAAATGTTGAAATAAAAACATCTGACCTCTTTCATTTCTGTTATAAAGCAAGTTATAACAGGTCTGCCTAGACTAGAGTTTTACCATGATTTCACATGAAGAAGAAATAAAAACATAGCACATGAGCTGAAAGGCACCCATAGCAGTACGCTTGTTTGAATAGAATATCCTCTAACCTTTTAGGGGTGGGGGTGGGGGGTGTAAACTCACTTTTCTAAGTAGTTTGGGAAAAAAAAAAAGAAAGTCTGACTTAAAAATAGATGAGATAAAATGTTCATCTTCCCATCAGAAAATATGAGTGTTGTTAAGTGCTGCTGTAGTGCTATATTCATGATAATGAGATTCATGCAATTTCTTTTCACTGTTACAGCTTTTCATTTTCATGTGATACTATACCCTGATCAGCCCTATCAATGGCAGAGGCTGTATCAGTTTATGTACAAGTAGCAGCCCCATTTAGATGAATAAAAGTTGTTTATGTTGTTTTCCTTTTCCAGAGGGATATAGGATAAATAATTAACCCAGTGACCCCTACCCTGCTTGTTTAACATTTATGCAATTACTCAAAGCTTGTATCTGATGCTTCCATAGCCATGAAAGCTGTGGCAAAGAAGTTATACTGAACACACACACAGTAAAAGCTATATGACATGGGTTTTAATGCAGTGAGGTAACACGGGCAGCACCCTGTGATTTTTTCCCTCTCATCCGCACTTACTTCTTTCATTCTTTCAAGTTTGTAAGACTAATTTTTTTTATGAGCTGCGAGTGGTAATTTAAGACATGAATGTTGTATCTGTAAAACGGATACAAAAAGACACAAATATGCAAAAGAAAGCAGCCACTGAAACCCATGTGTCACCTATTTGTTTAGCATTTTTAACTCTTTACCTGTTTTTTAAAGAAAGCATTTGAATTTCTTTTAAATTGTTAGAGCCAACTTTTTCTTCAGGTTGCAAAAACCCTCCAAATACTGTTTTCTAAGATTAGAGTGCTTTGTGAAAACTTTTTTTTTTTTTCTTTCATGGAGGAGGTCATGCAAATATATACATATACATGATTGCATGAAAATAAACTGGCACCAGTTATCCTCACAACACCACCTGGTTGTCTAATCCAGAAGCAGTACAGGCATTTTAGCACAGACCTATACCCGACCAGTTAAAGACTGCAGTTATTTTTATCAGATCAGACTTAGTACTGGGCTGACACATACATCCTATTCGCAGGTTACTATAGTTTATTGACCGGGACCTGAATGTAGATCTATGCATCACAGCTTTGCACAATATAGGCATAGCCTGAGACTGTCAGATAAATGGAGTTACACATTTATAAAAGTACTATAGAAATTCTGAAGCAGCTTGTTGTAGTGCTTCTGAATTGTTAAACAGAATCATTTTGGATTTATAGTGAAGTTTAATTTCAAAGATTCAGATTACTGGTCAAAATACTTCTTGAAGTTGACATAAACCATATTACTGTGTTTCCAAGCAAAGTGCTCTGACAAAACAATGTCTACAACTTACTGAAAAATTCAATATGCTCTGGTATTTCCAGATAAATTAGGTAGTAATTATTTTTCCTTGAGAACACATTAAAGTTCTGCAACCATCAGCTTACTATTGATTGTGATCATTAATAGCTCCAAGGATGGAAAAAAATGTAGCCTAGATTGAGGAAGGAAAGGAATTAAGTGCCCTTCACAGTTATTTCATTTTGTTTAGCTCCCACTCTCTCCTGAACTCGAGAAATCTGTTTTTTCCCCCTCTTTTATTCTATGTATTCTTAGCCAGATTCTTGGTCTGTGTGTGCTGGTGCCACTGTCATGAATGTAATGCACCATTATGCATTTAACATTAAAACTCAGTATAGCTGGAAACCTCACTTGCTTAAATAACCCTGTTTCTACAGGAATAAAGTAATCTGAATTTTCAAATTTACTCCAAGACAAAGAAACTGCTGTGTTGGTTGGCATCACTCTCAGGTTGGACTGAATCATTTCCATAAATTAGAGGACTGGAGGTATTTGGTGTACTCATCTAATTCATCTTCTTGCATAACACAGGTCATATGACTTTTCTGATCTGGTTCCATTTGAATCAGACTACCTCATTTAGAACTAGCATCTGAACCTGGTTTTAAAATTACCTGTGATGGCCAACCAACAAAAACACTTAATTAGCTTTCCAGTTAAATGACCTAATTTTATTTTGCTTTTAGATACATCTAATATCTGATTTTAATATACCTATTAAAGTTGGAAGTTTCCAGCCTCCAATCTTATATTTCTGTCTGCTAGATTGAAGAGCACACTATCAAAGTTTCCCCTCCCATGTAATAAGTACAGACATGCTATGATCAAATTGCCATTTAAATTCCCTATTTATAAATAAAACATGTAAAATGACAGATTTTATCTCTATTTAAACAAACAAACAAAAAAACCCAAACGTTCCAATCCTGTAATTCGGTTTTGTAATTTTTCAACAACCTCTTCCTATTTTATTAACAAATATCAGAAACTGTTCATGACAGAGCTGAACAGACTCCTCAAAGGACCATGGGAAAGGGACCCCAGGGACAGCTCTAGTCCAGCTGGGTACTCATAGCAGAATCAGCTCAGAGGCCAGCCCGCACTGCTCAGGGCTATATCTGGTTGGTGTTTAAAACCTCCATAGATGGGTGTGTGCAGCTTCTCTGGGCATCCTGCTGCACTGCTTGGCCGTCCTCATGGGGAAAATGTTTCTTATATCTGGTGTGAACCCATTACAAAACAGAGGGTAGCTGCCACTAAACCCACTCCTGTTTCTAATTATGCCCATTGTCTCTTGTTCCTCTGCCTGTATTAACCTGGTAAATATTCCCCAAATACACTAACGAAGGTCATTGAACCTTAGAAGGGTTCTGGTTGGAAGGGACCTTTAAAGGTCATCTAGCCCAACTCACCTACACATCTTCATCTAAATCTTCCTCTAAATATTTAATCTAAAGACATCTTCAACTAAATCAAGTTACTCAGAGCCCCATCCAACCTGACCTTGAATGTTTCCAGGCATGGAGCATTTACCACCTCTCTGGGCAACCTGTTCCAACCACCCTCATAGTAAAAAATTTTCTGCCTTGTATACAACCTAAATCTACCCTACTTTAATCTAAAATCATTACCCCTGTCAGGTCCTACTAAAAAGTCTGTCCCCATCTTTCTCATAAGCTCCCTTTAAGTACTGAAAGGCTGCAGTGGGGTCTCCCCAGAGCCCTCTCTTCTCCAGGTTAAGCAACCCCAACTCTCTTAACTTTTACTTACAGGAGAGATGTTCCATCCCTCTGATCATTTTTGTGGCCCTCCTCTGGATCCACTCCATGCCTTTCCTATACTGAGGACTCACCAGTGGGGTGTGGGGTCTCACCAGAGCAGAGTAGAGGCACAGAATCACCTCCCTCAACCTGCTGGCCACGATTGTTGTGATGCAGCCCAGGATATGGTTGGCTTTCTGGGCTGCAAGTGCACATGGTTGATCATGTTCAGCTTTTCATCCATCAGTACCTTAAGTCCCTCTCTGCAGGGCTGCTCTCAATGCTTTCATCCCCTGTCTGTATTGATACCAGGGGTTGCCCTGACCCACATACCAGATCTTGTGCTTGACCTTGTTGAACCTCATGGAGTTCATATAGGTCCACTTCTTGAGCTTGTCCAGGTCCCTCTGAATGGCATCCTGCCCCTTGGGCATGACAACCACACCACTCTGCCTGATGTCATCTGCAGATTTGCTGAGGGTGCACTCAATCCTACTGTCACTGTTGTTGATGAAGGTATTAAACAGTACTGGTCTCAATAAGGACCTCTGAGGAACACCACTCATAACTGGTCTCCATCCAGTCACTGAAACATTGACCACTACTCTCTGGATGCAACTATCTAGTCAATTCCTTATTGACTGAATGATCCATCCAACAAGTCCATATCTCTCTAATTAAGAGAGAAGGATGTTGTAGGAGATTGTGTCAAAGGTTTTACAGAAGTCCATAGCTCCATATATGACATCCATAGCTCTTCCCTTGTCCACTCATGTGGTCACTCTGTCACTGCGGCCACTCAGGTGGTCTTGAACCTCATCCTCTCTTACAGTGGGAAGGACTTTTCTCCCCCAGTCCCTTGAGGTCCATCCTCTCGAGAGGTGTGGGAAGAGAGATTGCCAGTGAAGAGCCTTCTCTTTGTCCACTGCTACAAGTTTGAAAGTAGTGTTCATCAATGGGGTACACTTCATAAGACTTCAGGTGTGCTCCAGCGTACCCTGCGTCAGAGCAACAGGCTGAGGTGTACCCGCCCAATGAAAATAGGGCTTCTTGGCTGGTGCAGTGTAGCAGCCACTAATCGCCTTTGTTCTCGGGGCTTCACGGTAGTTGAGTAGTAGTTGAGGCCTTTGGCCAATGGGACCTGCTATTGACTATAGATCAGATTCAGCCTGGGGGAGCCATTTTGATCTTGTCCCCTGGAGCAGCACGCTGCAGTCAAGGACTCTTCCCTTAGGTCAAGACACCACCCAAACTCCTCGAGGTGACTTGGGTCAGGACATTGCCCTGAGCAGGTCCTCAAAGGTTGAGAGCCCTCACTTGTTAGGTGAGTGATAGAGCATTTTGGGTTGTCATTAAACCCTAAGACGTTGTTCTGTTCTCTTCTCACAGACATTCAAACCTGTAATTTGTGGAAGGTTAGTTAATTGTGTTGACAATAAATTTTTAATTTCTGGTGGTTGATTTTTATCTGAGAGCCTCCGTAACAAATTAATGTTGTCGGCAGGATGTCGACAGAGGAGTTATTACAGTAGTTGTGTCCCTTCTCCCCCAGATGTGCAATGAGTGAAGGGGAAGTGTTTTGATCTGGTGGCAGTTGTAAGAGATTTGGAACAAAACAGGGAGTGGTGGAATAGTGAAAATGAAGGAAAAATGTGTGTGCCATTTTAGGTGCCTGATTGATTCAGGCACAGGATTATTTTGTAGTAGTGGAGAAAGATAACTTCGAGGAGTGGTTGGAAATTGATGATCTGAAGACAGAATTGTTACTAGAAAGAGAGAGAAGGTGGTTATTAGGGAAAAAAAATATGAAATTATGTTGGCACAAGCAAACAAGCCTCCTAATGTTCAGATTCAAAAGTTAATTAAGGGTGTTGTAGATCTTGAGGAGTGGGATGGAGATATTTGGGGAGAGTCTGATGGAAGGGGCTTGGAGGAAATAAAGGAATTGGAGGAAGGAAATGTGCAACCTCTCATTAAAACAGAAAGGCATACAGGTCCACAAGGTGGGAACCCCCAAACCCCCGTCCATACAACCCCCTGGACGGACCCGAGCTTAGTGAACTTCAGGTTAAATATTCATGCAAATTGGGTGATACTGAAACCGAGTATTTTTGGAGAGTTTCTTTAACAGGGGGGGATCAAATTCTCTTGAGTAATGATAAGGCAGGAAGTTTCTGGGGTCCTGGAGTGTTTCAAGTGACGGACCATTGGGCAACCAGTCAATAACATCTTGAGTGGCTTACTGGGCTGGGGGGGTGGACCCTAAGGAGAGGGGGGAACCCGTTGCTATTAAGGTGAAGAGATTGTCAGAACTGGTGAAGGGAGTACAAAAGGCAACTGGCATTCAGGCGATGGATGGGAGGGAGCGACGTGGAATACTGCTTGCCGCACCGGTGGATCCCAGCCACCTTAGAGCCCTTATATGTCCAGTCCCTCAGAAAGGGTGCAAAGAGCTATTGAATGCAACCAGCGAAACCCCCCAGCCCCTCACATGCAGGTGTTAATGTGGGCAGAAGTGTTACAGGATCTGGTTGCTAATGGGCAAGAGATGGGCTGGACTGATGCTAGTGGGGGCAGGGATGGAAGCCGGAGGGTTTGGCCAGTCAGTCAGAAACTCCACCCCTGAACAGCAGCCTTGGAGAGAGTTTAAACCACCCCGGGATAAGTCAGGTCAATTTTATGGTTCAAGAAGGAATAATCTTTGGTGGAAGACGTTGGCACTGGGGGTACCCCAGGCAATATTACATGGGCAATCTACTGGTAATATCTTGAAGTTGGTGCAATTGCTGGAGGGGAGAACTCGAGAACAAAGGAAAAATGTTAGGGTCTGATGTTATGTCAGGTAAACAATGGGGTTTACCAGATGGCAGAGTGTGGAGTTTTAGAGTTAAGGTGACAGAAGTTACTTGTGTCTCTCAATATCCATTGCTAACTGCTGCCAAACAAGGTATTTTTGAGGTGATTGATGATATTGAAAAAACGTTATAAATTGTACACATTCCCCCTATAATTCTCTGGTGTGGCCAGTCGCAAACCAAACAAAAGGTTTGTCAGCTGGGGGCCTGGCACAGCTGGACTGGGTGCAGCCCTACAGGAGCACGCCTGCCAGGTCTAGGATGGGCTCTTTATGGTTCCTTTGTCGGAAGCAAACAGGGATCACTTTGCTCCCCCGTGGGAAGGTGTGCCATTTATATTTGCACGTCTTCACCTGGAATATTGGCACTCACCCACAATTTCTTCCTATGCACTGGCTCAAAAGCTTGCTAAAACCATGCCTGGAGAAAGGGTTAAGATCTCAGGAATTCCCCCCTCTTGTGGGTGTCCTGCAGTGAGAAACTGCGAGGAAGTGCTATGTACAATTAGATCATTATTGCCATACACAGCAAGTAGAGAACACCCAAATCAATTTAATCAGGTAACAGGAAACACTTTACTGCCAGGGTGGTCCAGGAGTGGGCACACAAGGAATACAGTGGGTTTGCACACCCTTTACTATCCTCAGGCTCATGGGCATTGTTGACATACTTGGGAAGCCTTAGGTAAAGGTGGAAAAACTCACTGTATTGGTGCTCAATGGATAATTTCTAATTTTTATCATGATGCTGAGGTTCTGATCCAAGGCCTAGTTCTGTTTTTTTTGTTAGGATCTTGGAGGAACAGATGATTTTGGCATCCTGACTGGAAATGGTGTTGGTGATCCATATGGACAATCAAGACTTGGATGACAACATGGTGGCGAATTAATCTTGTAAAATTGGCAGCATTCAGAAGAAAGTGGTTGAATATAGTGCTGTTGCATTAATGCTACTTTAGGTCAATAAATGAAAAAAGTAGCAAGAGACTTGAGGCAATTGTGTCATATTAAGCATTAATTAGTTAATTGGATATGTTTGAATCTTCATTGTTAGAATGGTTAATCAGCTTCCTTCAGTTTTGATTGTAATACATTGTACAGTTGGAGGGTTGGTTGGTTTTTTTTAAGATTTGATTGTATAATCATCTAGGGATGACAATTCACAATGAGTATGGAAACTCACCAGGACCGCATGCCCTTTTAACCTTGGAGGCAAGAGGTGACTGCACCACCACTGCAAGGAAACCAGGCAAATCATGACTGTAGTCACAGCATGGATTTTGTGGCAGGTGCACCTGCCCAATGAAAATGGGGCTTCTTGGCTGCTGAAGTGTAGCAGCCACTAATTGCCTTTGTTCTCAGGGCTTCACGGTAGTTGAGGCCTTTGGTCAATGGGAGCTGCTATTGACTACAGATCAGATTTGGCCTGGGCATCAATGGAGGCCCCTGAAGCAGCACGCTGCAGTCAAGGACTCTCCCCTTGAGGTGACTTGGGTCAGGACGTTGCCCTGAGCAGGTCCTGGAGGTTGAGAGCCCTCACTTGTTAGGTGAGTGATAAAGCATTTTGGGTTGCCATTAAACCCTAAGAAGTGGTGCTTTGTTCTGTGTTTTTGGGTTTTCGATATACCCTAGGAAGTTGTTCTGTTCTCCTCTCACAGACATTCAAACCTGTAATTTGTGGAGGGCTAGTCAATAAATGACAATAATTTTTTAATTTTTGGCGGTTGGTTGTTTATTTGAGATCCTCCGTAACAATTGCCTACAACTATAATCTTCTTTTTTATTCCTCATGTAATGGTTGTGATATGGGGCATAGGCTTTCCTGACCTTGGCAACATCTCTGGTGTAGATGGACCATTATCCATATGATCTACTAACAGAGTTTCCACATCCAGAGCCTCATACCTGTTGTAAAGAGACACCTGGCAAGGTGAGGTAGGCAGGGAGTAGGTTTGCCTGCTGCATGGAGCGTGGACTTGCCTCCATTGGCTCCTTCCTTTAACTTACTGCCTTCTGCCGGGTGAGGGGAGGATACAGGATCCCCTTGATCTTGGTTATTTTCTGGTGGATGTCCCCTGAGCCTCTCCGATGCTCCTTAACCTGTCCACTTTCTCCCAAAGCTCTGCCGCCAGGCTGAGCAGATCACCTACTCGGTCCCACCTCCCACGGCTGTTCTCCGTGCTGCCATCCCGTGCCAGTGAAAGGCTCTGGCACGCCCTGCAGCCCGAGACCCGGGTCTCTGCGTGTTTTCCTGGGAGCTCTCTCTGGGTTGCCACATGTGTTGTGGTGAGTGCAGAGCTGGTGGCCTTCTGCTGGGCAGGCATCACCGCTAAGCTCCTCTGGGAGGGCGATGACCACCGAGGGGAATGGCCTTTGGAGCTGGCAGGGTGATGATGCCCTTCAGCACCTACTGCTGCCCCTCGCCCTGTTCACTCGCCCTGGCCGCTTGTGCTCCCCAGGCTGGTGCCTATAGGTGTGGGGTGGCTGTTGTTGTCCCGGTCTCTGTGAGAGTGGCCGGCTGCGGGTGGGTCTCTCGCTGCCTGAGGAAAACCCTCCTGTGCACCAAGATCCACCGCTTACCTGCAGACCAGGCTGGCTCTGGAGCAGCTCACCTCCATGACTGATTGATAGTTACAGTTACACCACATTTAAATCTCCCGCTGTTGCTCTGTAAACACGCAAATTATATCTGTGCTTCTGTCAGAGTGTCAGGTTTGTAAATCTGTAATAAGATGATTATCTTAAAGAGCTGGTGACTGATGAAAGTACTGATGTGCCAGGTAATTTACAATACACTTGCTGGGAATAAAGACTTTATTTTTATTCTCCTAAATGAACAAACTTATTTTTCATATATTAAAATACAGAATCTGCCTGTGTCCACCTTGTACCAATGGCATACGTTTTTAATCAAAAACATTGTGGAGGTACTGTTTTATTCTCTTGTAATAGAATAACAACAATAATAGAATGACAACAGAGTTACAAGAAGAAGGTAAAACAAATAAGAAAAAATTATCCCTACAGTACTCTGCTGAGTCTGTTACTATTTCAGAACCATCCTCTATTTGTAACTACATTTTGATTTCCTTGTATCATACCAAAAACATCTCCTGTTTGAATCCATTATGTTTTGCTAGGAATTGACAATCTGTTCAATTCTTTAATGAAATTCCATGCACTAATAAGTAAAAATTTTACCTCCAGCTGCGTTCTGAATCTTCACAGCACCTTTCACAGACCCTATTTACACTGTGCCTTTCTGGCTTCCAGTCTACTCCTTTACAGGTGCTGTTTTCTGTGAGTCTTATGTGAGCATGGTGAAAGAAGGGATGAGAGGCTAGAATATATATATCACATAACAACCTAAGGTAGAGTGTCACAGGTATCTCATCACATTATATGACAGTGACTTCTCATATCCTATTTGGCCTGTGTCTTACCAGTGGTTTCATATCCCTTTGGAGGAAGAACACATCAGAAACGGTAGTGGGAAAGAAAGAATTGGTGAAAGGACCCTGTGATCATACTCTGATCACAGTGTACTGAGTACAGTCCTCACGGAAGTTACTAAAAGCTTAGCAGTCACTTGTAACCCTTCTGCATCTCTAGTTAGGAAATTACAAACCTCCTTTGAAGTTTTCTGATTAATTCATAGAGAAAAAAAAAAAAAGACTGAGATTGAGAAAAAATCCCAAACAAAACATCATTTTTCAGATGAAGCAAGATTTCATTTATTAAAAAAGATTGCTTTTGTACCTTCACTTTGGATTGCTTGGGTGATGGAGTATCTAGGAAGTAAAATTTCTTCCATAGCATAGAAAATAGTTTACCAAGTATTGAAGTGATTAGTAGTAGAAAAGCACAGTGTACCTTTGAATGCTGTGCCTTTGAAACGCACTCATCCTGGGTAAGATAGTAGCAGAGTTACAATGAACTATCCGAACAAGAAACCTCAAAGGCACCTTGATATGATGTCAATATTTATTATATTTAATTTCTCACTGTTCTGAAAATCCTTGTAGTGACACTA